TGCACCCCACCCGCTGCGCCCCGATTTCCTCCTCCTCCTCCTCTTCTCTTCTCCTCACGTGCCCAAACCAAAAACCTCAGCAAGAATGTGTGTGGCTCTCCCTGCATTGTTGTTCAGGCACACCCTGCCAGCTGCGGCTCTTCCAGGCACTCGCATCAAACCAGGTGATGCCCAAATCCGCTTTTGTGGTTATAAGAAAAGCAGGATGGGTAAAGCAAAGCTTTCTGGCTGAACAGAAGCAGGCAGGCAGGCAATGCCCTCAGGGAGCTATCCAGAGTGCTGACTTCCATCCAGGCCTGCCACAGTTTATACTCTGGGATCTGACATATTAGTGAAAGATCTGACTAGTTTGCATCAACACAAATGTGCCTTTTATCGGCACTGTTACAAAGGATGTGTATAAGTGTTTCTCCCCACAGATTGAACATAGGAATAGTACAGTCCCGATCCTTAACGCTGTGGCCCATAACGCTCCCCAGCAGTCTCCCAAAACCCACCATTAAAAATCAAGCCAATTTTGGGCACTTTTTGTCCTCCACGAAACTAGATGAAATATATTCCATTTTCACAAGTATCCCAAAATCTTGTTGTTGTGTGCCTTTAAGTCATTTCTGACTTATGATGAACCCATCATGGGCTTTTCTAGGGCTATGAGTGTAAGATTCACTCAAGGTCACCTTATGAATTTCTATGATGTGATGTGGCGGCAAAATGTCTAACAATGTGATGTGGTGGCAAAAAAAGCCAATGGGATTTTGGCCTGCATCAATAGGAGCATAGTGTCTAAGTCCAGGGAAGTAATGCTACCCCTCTATTCCACTTTGGTTAGACCACACCTGGAATATTGTGTCCAATTCTGGGCACCACAATTCAAGAGAGATATTGACAAGCTGGAATGTGTCCAGAGGAGGGCGACTAAAATGATCAAGGGTCTGGAGAACAAGCCCTATGAGGAGCGGCTTAAGGAGCTGGGCATGTTTAGCCTGAAGAAGAGAAGGCTGAGAGGAGATATGATAGCCATGTATAAATATGTGAGAGGAAGCCACAGGAAGGAGGGAGCAAGCTTGTTTTCTGCTTCCCTGGAGACTAGGACACTTCAAACTACAAGAGAGGAGATTCCATCTGAACATGAGGAAGAACTTCCTGACTGTGAGAGCCGTTCAGCAGTGGAACTCTCTGCCCCAGAGTGTGGTGGAGGCTCCTTCTTTGGAAGCTTTTAAACAGAGGCTGGATGGCCATCTGTCAGGGGTGCTTTGAATGCAATATTCCTGCTTCTTGGCAGAATGGGGTTGGACTGGATGGCCCAGGAGGTCTCTTCCAACTCTTTGATTCTATGATTCTGGAGCACCAGTGATGCAATGGGTTAAACCCTTGTGCCAACAGGACTGCTGATTGAAAGGTTGGTGGTTCGAAGCCGGGGAGTGGGGTGAGCTCCTGTCTGTCACCTCCAGCTTCCCACGCAGGGACATGAGAGAAGCCTCCCACAGGAAGGTCGAACATCCAGGTGTCCCCTGGGCAACATCCTTGCAGAGGACCAATTCTCTCACAACACAGTTTCTCAAGTTGCTCCTGACGCACGCACACACACACAAACCAAACAAAGAATTGAACCCTAGTCTTCAGAGTTGCTCAAATCACTACATTATGCTGACTCTCATACTCCCCCAAATAAATCCATTCACCTTGGTAGCCACTACCAAAATGTTAACACCACTTCCTATTGGCCTTGACTGTACAAGAAAACAGAAGTATTTGGGTGAGACATTGCAGCCTGTGGGGACGAGAGACAGGGCCTTCTCCAAGGTGGCCCCTTGACTGTGGAACTTCCTCCCTAATGAGGTCAGAACTGCCCCATCCCTTCTTACCTCCTGGAAGAAACTTAAACCCTGGCTATGGGATCAAGCGTTTGCAGAATAGACCGATTTACTTTACAAGATTTGATTTGACTGCAATGGATTGATTCGGGATGATGATTTTAACTTCGTGAACTTTTTAATGTATATTTATAATTGTTTAATGTATTTAACTGTATTTGATGCTATGTTTTATTGTGTTGGCACTGAATAGTGGCCTGAGTCCCTCTTTGGAGGTTGAGAAGGATGGGATAGAAATGTTCTAAATAAATAAATAAATTTGGAGGTGAAATTGGGCTCCACCCTCTCCGTGGAATTGTCTATCCCTGTGGTAGACCTTTCTCTCGTACTTGCTTCTCTCACAACTACCTTCCTTTGCTGCCCCTCTTTTCCAAGCTTTGTTCTTGTCCCATTTTTATTCCTACAGTTCCCTTTACTTTGAGGGAGGCTCTTTCTGTTCGGGTACCAGTTGCACAGCCTCATCCTGGCAGGGCTGGGAGGAGAGAGAGGAGGCAAGCAAGTGGTGGGGAGATCTGGCAGCAAGGGAGACCAAAGCAGCTTAGAGGGAGAGCAGCCAGCCAGCCGTCCCTTGCTTCTCCCTGCCATGCAGAGGGAGGCCTCCTTTGTAGCTAGATCTAGCTTTCTTCTGTCACTGCTGCTGCTGCTCAAAGATCTGGAATGTAAGAAGCAGACTGCACAGAATGTTCCACGCCGGCACAATCTCATTAGTTTCAGAGACAGAAAGGAAGAGCAGCTGCTGCTGTTATCCCAAAGTCCTTGGAGATCCTGCCTGCTTCATGCCATCCCAGCCCCGGATAATCTGCTCCCCAGCCTTGGATAATCTGCACATGTAAACCCCACACATTACAAGGCAAAGACCACATTCTGTGTTTCCTTTCTAACAATGATGCCTGCAAGGAGGAATTAGCAAGCTTGAAGGCCACTAAACCACCGAGTGGGTGCAGTTGGCGAGGACCAGAATGATCTACTGGTTGAACTGGGATCTTTATGTGAATTTCACTGCATGACCTTGGACCATGAAGCTCACTGATGAACCATGGGGACATTCATCATCCCATAGCTAACACTGGCTTGCAGGGCTGCTGTGAAAGCAAAATGGTCAATAGAGAGAAGGACTAGATAAACCATCTTGTACTTTGTGATTTTCATAATCAGAGACAAGAATAAATAATGGCAAGAAGTCACAAAAACACATAGTTTTCGAATACTGTTCATTAGGCTTGGTGGAGCCAAAAAAAGGTTCAAAACTTGTTTTGGATCTAGGGAGCACTGGTAGTTCAATTCGGAATTGAATGCCAAATTTTCAGAAAAAAGTTTTCAGAACTTTTAGAACTTTTTGAAATTTCCGATTAGCTTCGTTAATGAAAACGCAATTGCGAAATACGCAAGTATGGGATTTGTAGTGTCTCTTCAGTGGCAACGCAAGGCAACTAAGGACACAAACAGCAGACAGTGGCCTTTTTGGCTTTTGGAAGTTGATTTCACAACTTTAGGCAGGATAATATTTTGACTATTTGGCAACGCACGGCAAACTAAGGAAACAAACTGCACCCTCACACCCCAATATTTCCCACCCACACGTCTCCCACACTTCCCAAACCCCAACAGCAAAAACACACAAGCAGCTGCAAGGTAGCCAGCCAGGCAAGCAACAGCCCTTCTCCCTGCCTTGGTTCTCTGCTGCCCTGGCTCTTCTTCCCCAACAACAGCAACAATACACAAGCAGCTGCAAGGCAGGCAGCCAGGGGAAGGCAACAGCCCTTCTCCGCTTGTCCTGCTCTTCTTCCAATCACTTTTCTTCCAACCTCCCTTTCTCTTTCCCTTTCCCTTTCCCTTCTACCTTCCCGGGCTCACAATGAGCCTCTGAGCCATGAGCTGCCTTTAATATAGTGAAATGGCTGCCATGCCGAAACCCCACCCCTCCCCTTCCCAAAACTTCTCCCCTCATTGGCTGGGAGGCAAGCATCCCAGGATGCAAGCTGCTTGCCTTCAAATGCTGACTCACTTCCGACACACTTCATGAATCGTAAGAAAAATGGCAAGAGAAGCTTTGGAAGGGCAAAGGGACTTCCGGTTTTCTTAAAAAGTTTGAAGTCGCTTCAAAAATGTAATTTTTCTAACTTTATTCCAAATTACGAATATTCCGACAGTACCTAACCGTGCCTACTGTTCATCCTTCAGGAACCATTCTGACAAAAAAATACAGATGGGATTACCTTCACATAGGAAAAAGGATTTTCTGTGGAGAAAACAACATTTGCAAATCTATACAGCTGTCTCATGTTGTACAGCTGAAATAGAAACCTAGAATGATAGAGTTGGAAGAGACACCAAGGATCATGGAGTCCCACTCCAATCTGCCTTGTAGGAATAAACAATCAGAATCTGAGTCACACAATATGGGTTTGAAAGGGGTCCTAAAGACCATCCAGTCCAACTTGCTGTTCAATGCAGAAATTCCAGCTATAATATTCCATCAGATATCTCTCCCCTCCCCAAAACTTCTCCCCTCGTTGGCTGGGAAGCAAGCATCCCAGCATGCAAGCTGCCTGCCTCCAAATGCTGACTCACTTCCGACTCACTTCATGAGTCATAAGAAAAATGGCGACAGAAGCTTAGGAAGGGCAAAGGGACTTCCAATTTTCTTAAAAAGTTTGAAGTCGCTTCAGAAAGGTAATCTTTCCAACTTTATTCCGAATTATGAATATTCTGACAGTACCTGACCATGCCTACTGTTTATCCTTCAGGAACCATTCTGACAAAAAATATAGATAGGATTACTTTCACATAGGAAAAAGGATTTTCTGTGGAGAAAACAACATTTGCAAATCTACACAGTTGCTCCAACTTCTATAGACTTCTGAAAATTCCACCAGAGAAGAAAGGAACATGCAATCCCAAGTTAAGCAGGCCAACATTACTGTCCCTACAGTCTGAAAATTGTGAGTAAAATACTTTTTTGGTTCACAGATAGCAGTGTATTGGCTATGAAATTTGGCTGCGGTAAAATCTGAACTGGAAACTTGCTGTTCTAGCTGCAATGCTTTTCTGGTTTCCCCCTATGCTCTCTGATGAAGAAAATACATCTGGTGGGGATATATAAAAATAGAAATTGGTTTGTCTCACCTTTCCATTGCGTAGAAGTCTGCGTATCTCCACTTTTTTGAGATGCCAACCAGGATTAATGCCTGAGCCATCGTGCCCAATGCGGACCTTTTCAAGTATGTCTCCAACATCTTCCAACTGGAGAAGTGTAGAGGAAAGTAGAGGAAAGTCACAAAATCAGCCCATTCTTAGTTACCTTGTAGCCACACCACCTTTGTTCACTTAGTTAGTGAGTTACCACTTTATTATCCTTAATGAGATTGAAGTTGAATGCAGACAGCCTTTAAAACCTTCAATCTTTATAGTTACAGTTTCAATCTTAGCAAATTTCACCTAACAGAGGACGCGTGTGTAGTCAGTCACCAATATTAGTCGACTTCATGCAGTTTGACACCACATTAAGTGCCATGGCTCAATGCTATGGGCTCACGAGAGTTGTAGTTTTACATGTCCTCTGGGAGCTGAAGCCCAATACATTTGGAAGAGCATAGTTTGAGAAACACTGCTATCCCTCCCAATTTGGTGGCTTTTGAATTTTTTCTAAACATGCCCTCAATTCCATCATCTCAGTTAGTGGTTCCCAACTTTTTTTGACCAGGGCCCACTTGACACCAGGAACCACTTGACCAGGGACCACTTTGACCAGGGCCCACTTGACACCAGGGCCCACTTGACCAGGAACCACTTTGACCAGGGCTCACTTGACACCAAGGCCCACTTGACCAGGGACCACTTTGACCAAGGCCCACTTAAACCAGAGACCACTTTGACCAGGGCTCACTTGACACCAAGGCCCACTTGACCAGGGACCACTTTGACCAGAGCTCACTTGAGACCAGAGCTCACTTGACCAGGGACCACTTTGACCAGGGCCCACTTGACCAGGAACCATTTTGACCAGGGCTCCCTTGACACCAGGGCCCACTTGACCAGGGCCCACTTGACACCAGAGCCCACTTGACACCAGAGCCCACTTGACCAGGGACCATTTTGACCAGGGCCCACTTGACCAGGGGCCACTTTGACCAGGGCTCACTTGACACCAGGGCCCACTTGACCAGAGACCACTTTGACCAAGGCTCACTTGACACCAGGGCCCACTTGACCAAGGACCACTTTGACCAGGGACCACTTTGACCAGAGACCACTCTCCAACGTTAGTACCAAAAGGGGGTGGGGGGGTGGTCGGCTCTGCAGAAAGGGGGTGGTCAGCTCTGTTGGGGGGTGGTCAGCTCTGCAGAAAGGAGCGGAAATAAAATGAAGAAAATAAAGAAATAAATAAAGAGGAAGGAGGTTCACAGACCAGATTTTTGTTTTGCTGGGCCACAGCTCACAGGTTGAGGACCACTGATCTAAGTCATCAATGAAGATATGGACTAGCACTGGATCCAGGACAAATGCCTGGGGCACCCTACTGGTCTCTTCTCTCCAGGATGAAGAGGAGCCATTGGTAAGCATCCTTTGGGTTCAGTCAGTCAACCAATTCCCAATCCACCCAACAGAATGGTGGGGAAAGAGAGAAGGGCTCCTCCAGAAGATCTCAAATCATGAGCAGGTTTGTAGGAAAGGACATGTTCCAACACAAGACTTGGATCTGAGATATAGGTCATCACCAGTATCCACATCATTGACCACCATTTGGGGGATAGTGCTGACAACATCTTGGATAATTCCTTTAAAATTTGAAATAAAACCTGGTATAATTTCATTTCTGCACTAATATTGGACCAGCACCACTGCTGCTATAATGGACATGGGCGGACAGGCTCCCAAAGTCTCAGTATCCAACTTCTAGCAAAAAGTTTGGAAAACACGAGTTTCTACTTCACTTTTATTTCTGTTTCAAAATTAAAGGCTCGGTGACATGATTCTTCCTTCATTTCCTCCTGACAGTTTACGATGATGTTATCTGTCTCTTCGAGGGAGCACGAGGCGAAAGGATTTGAAGCCCTCTCCATTTCTCCCAGAACATTTAGAATAACAGCACCAAGGGGAGAAAATGATCTTTCATCTCCCCACCTCTAATAAATAGCTTTCTTTTGTTCTAGAGATGGGAAGAGAATGCCCCATGATTTTAAAGACAGGAATGACATCAACTAAAACAAGAAGAAAGGTGTATTTATTGCACTGCTTCCCACACTGCCAGCGAGTCATCTCCTAAAGGTATATCTGATAACAGTTTCTTTCTTAAAAACTCTTTTCGGATGTCATCTGCAGAGTACAAAGCAGACTCAACAGAGAAGCCGCTAAAACAAAGGCAAGAAAGAGAGAAGGAATTCACAGGTCTGAGTGATCAGCTCTTGCAAATGTTTCCCAGGTCTATTATTATTATTACAGAGTCTCACAAAAAGGTGATAGAAGACAATGTTTTGTTCTTCTTTCACTCTTCTCCTCCACTTGCTGCCTACTCTCAGTACAGAAACAATATAACAAACAAAACTTGGTAAAGAACAAGCAACATTTAAAAACAGTTTTTGCAAATCACATTCAGAATCAAGCTTTTCGGGGGTACTCTCCACTGAAAAATCCATGCAGCTTGACCCCACTTTAACTGCCACGGATCAATACTGTGAAATCATAGGAGTTGTAGTTGCACTATTGAGCAGAGAAGGCTAAAGACCTTCTAAAACCATAACTCTCATTATTAGATAGCATTGAGCCATGTTAGTTAAGTGGCATGAGTTCTACAGTGTAGATGCACATCGGAGCAGAATAAGAAAAGGAAGAATATATTGCAAGTATTTCCTGTCTTTAACTTAAAGTTGTTGGGGGGTTGTAAATGTGAATAAACAGAAGATTTACCACAGTTTCTGAACCAAGACATACCCTGCAGTATAATAAAGTGTCACTCAGGCTTATGTAACAAGTAACAGTATCTTTACTTTCCTTCAAAAGATCAAACAAGGCAACAATATTTACAGCAGTCTCGCTGAATTCACACAGAGAACAGAGGGAATAAACATTCCTTGAAATAGTCTTTAAATATGCTTCATGCCTTAGAACAGGGGTCCTCAAACTAAGGCCCAGGGGCCGGATACGACCTCGAAGGTCATTTACCCAGCCCTCGCTCAGGGTCAATCTAAGTCTGAAAAGATCTGAAAGCACACAATAACCACAATCCTATCTCATCAGCCAAAAGCAGGTCCACACTTCCCATTGAAATACTAATAAGCTTATATTTGTTAAAATTGTTCTTCATTTTAATTATTGTATTGTTTATAAGTGTTTTTTGCACTACAAATAAGGTATGTGCAGTGTGCATAGGAATTCATTCATTTTTTTCCCAAATTATAATCCGGCCCTCCAACAGTTTGAGTGACTGTGACCTGGCCCTCTGTTTAAAAAGTTTGTGGACCCCTGCCTTAGAAATAAACAGGCTTCAAAGAGTTGGCAGCCATTTTCTTCATGTTTGTTTTCAGTCAGCACTCTCTTTACTCTCCAAAGTGAAAAAAGGCAGTTAAAACTGTTTGTCTCAGCAGTAAGCCAGAGACAGCAGCCAATCAGAACTCCAGCTCTTGGTATGCTCAGCCAATTAGCTGCCAACACATGTCTTTCCAGTCAACCACCACATCATTGTGTCTCTTTACAAATCCTCACAATTGTGACCTAAATGTCTTCTTTTGTAACACTTGACACAAAGAAAATCCAACAAATGGTACATTCAGCAAAAGGACAAGAGGTGTCCTCTCACTTCTGCAGGAGTCTACTGTATACCATGTAGCTGAGGAGAAGTCTACATAAGGACCACCAAATGCAGCATTGCCCAAACACGAATCAAGGAACATGAAAGTCACTGCGAGCTAATTCAGCCAGAGAAGTCAGCCATAGCAGAGCACCTGATGAACCAACCTGGACACAGCATATGATTTGAGAACATTGAAATGCTGGACCACTCTCACAAACACCATATCAGGCTACACAGAGAAGCCATTGAAATCCACAAGCATGTGGACTATTTCAACAGAAAGGAGGAAAGCATGAACATGAACAAAAACTGAGTACCAGTAATACAAATTCTAAAATCAGGACATTAAATAAAGAGCAACACTTAGAAAACAGAGGGAATTCCAGACAGGAAACATTCAGTGCCAGCTAATACCTCCCAACAAAGGATTCCCCTAGTCAGGAAGCAGACAGGCCTTGAAGCTACAAGGCTATTCAATGCTAATCAAGGTGATCAATTGCAACATTCACATTTGCCTCCAACAGACAAGAGTTCTTTCTCCCACCCTGGACATTCTTCTATAGATATATAAATAATAAAAATCACTTGCCTAGTTTTCCAACAGACCTCACAACCTCTGAGCATGCCTGCCATAGATGTGGGTGAAACATCAGGAGAGAATGCTTCTGGAACATGGCCAAACAGCTCGGAAAACTCACAGCAACCCACTTGACACAAAATTGAATGGAATACAAGCAGTTCAGGCAATGCAATAAAATAAGAACAATTTGGAAATTGCTCTCAGTTTTAATTTTATATCCAAACGAATTTTACTGAAAATACACCCCTTTCCTCACTCTTCTCCCCTTCCACTTTTCACTTTCTCCAGCTTTTTCTCTGGTCAATAGTCTTTGGGAGTGGTTGGTGGGTTGGTTAAAGGTCTACTGCACCCTTTACCTTACCTCAACAATGAACTGATTCACAGAATTCCTCTCAAAGAACATTCTCCGCTCTCTCATGTTTTGGCACAAGGATTTCTGCTGAGTGCAAACTCCATCAGCTCCATACAGGACAATGTAGACGTCTGCATCAGTGCCAGCTGCAAAAAGGTCACTTGTGTAAATAGTGACTTCATAGGGAACAACTGAGGATGAGAAAGAAGAGAAGCAAAATGAGACACCACTGACCAGTTTGAATCTTCCCACCATGAACAACCCACAGATTGACAAGACTAAGGATGCATTTACACTGAAGAATTAACACAGTTTGACACCACTTTAACTGACAGGTGTCAATGCCATCAAATCGTGGGGCTTTAAATTTTACAAGGTCTTTAGCCTTCTCTGCCAAGGACTGCTAGTGCTTCACCAAACTACAAATCCCAGGAATCCTCAGCATTGGCCAATGACTTAAAGTGATGTCAAACGTCAGAGTCATATGAATACTATTCTAAACAAAACACCAAGAATGCTCGTGGTGTATCACTGGAGTAATATTAGAAAGGGTAGAAAAGGGCATAGTTCTCTTTGTCCTGTCCAACCATCTTCACCAAAGACATCCCTCTGGTTCTCCTAGACCAGTGGTGCTCAATCTGTGGGTCCCCAGGCGTTTTGTCCAGCAACTCCTTGAAATCCCAGCCAGTTTGCCAGCTGTTAGGATTTCTGGGAGTTGAAGACCAAAACATCTGGGGACCCACAGGTTGAGAACCGCTGTCATAGACCCTTATCTATCCATCCATCCATCCATCCATCCATCCATCCATCCATCCATCTATGAATGCTCAGTTCGTTTTGAGGAACATCATAACTCAAAATCCACTGGACTAATTGCCACCAAATCTGGCCAAAAGACACCTACTAATCCAAGGAGTGACCATCACTAAATATTAAATTGATTTTTGTCATTTGGGAGTTGTAGTTGCTTGCATTTATAGTTAACCTACAATCAAAGAGCATTCTGAACTCCACCAACGATGGAATTGAACCAAACTTGACACATAAAACTTCCATGACCAACAGAAAATAGAAGGGTTTGGTGGGCATTGACCTTGAGTTTTGGAGTTGTAGTTCACCTACATCCAGAGAGCACTGTGGACTCAAACAATGAAGGATCAAAACCTGGTTCTCAACCTGTGGGTCCTCAGGTGTTTTGGCCTACAACTCCCAGAAATCCCAGCCAGTTTACCAGCCTGTTAGAGTTTCTGGGAGTTGAAGGCCAAAACATCTGGGGACCCACAGGTTGAGAACCACTGATCTAGACCAAACTTGGCTAGAATGCTCCATATGCCCAAATATGAACACAGATTGAGTTTGGGGAAAACAGATCTTGACATTTTGGAGTTTTAGTTACTGGGATTTATAGTTCACCTACAATAAAAGAGCAACCAACGATAAAATTGGGCCTAACTTTCCACACAGAACCGCCATGACCAACAGAAAATACTGTGTTTTCTGCTGCTCTTTGATGACCCTTCTGACACCCCCTCGTGACCCTCCCAGGGGTCCCAACTCCAAAGTTGAGAAATGCTGCCTTAAGGCCATCCAGTCCAACTCCCTTCACCAGGGCAAGAAAACATAATCAAAGCCTTCCTGACAAAGAGCCATCCAGCCATAGATATAGATAGATAGATATGATTCACACAGAGAGACATATGTATATGACAGATACAGTATTATACATTTGAAAGGGACCCCTAAAGAAGGACAATTATATGTTGCATGTTCCAAAGTAGGTAAACCAGACAATCTCCACATCAACACTGACAAAGAAACAACAAGAAATACTGTTTACCCACAAGCATAAAGAAATTACATATATTAGAAACCAACACTTTCTCATTACTTTATTTTCCAGATCACCAGACTGGGCCACAGCAATGTGTGGCAGGGGACGGCTAGTTTCCTATGCCATTGGAATCTGTGCAGGTACAGCTGTACCAGGAGCTCCAATTTTGTTTGCTTTGCATTGAATGTTTGTTTGTAGTCCTAAGTTTCAGGGACTCTGCAGATAGGTGGCTTCTTTTGGCTGCAATCATAGGGCAAGCCACCTGTCAATTATAGTTAGGTTCCCTGGTCCCTCCCCCTTTGGGTTTTGGAGTGAATAGGAGCCAGTTTGGGTTCAGTCCACACAGAGAAGTCTTTCATGCAGGACATAATACCAAGAGCTCCTGTAGAAAGCTTCGTCTTCTACAGCTTGGCCGGGTTATACAGCCAACAGCTTGGCCGAGGATCATACAGCCTTATAGCTCCTTTGCTGAAGGACTTCAGCCAGCCATCACCTAAACCTGAACTCCTTCTTTTTCCCTGGAAGTCTACAAAGCCCTGACTGGTAAGGGTCTCTCGTGGAAGCCAGAAGCAGTTGGTACCAGGTGTAGGGGCTCCACGCCAACAGAGGCAAAGACAGACTGCCCAGATTAGAAGTTAAGGATTTCCCCATTAGTTACAGTTATGAAGATAGTGCCTGTTCCCTGTGGACAAGATTGCAAGAGCCAATAGACTGTTAAGAAAGCCTTAAAGTACCTGTTTGTTTTCATCAATAAAGAACATTGTTGAACCTTTAAGCAATCTAAAGACTCTGTTTTAAGGAAATCCAAGGGCCTTTAATCTGAGGCAGCCCCGGCATCCCGTTGGGCACACGGAATTTATGTCCTGTCTACAGTCTTATGCACAGGCCCAGCATGCGACAGATTCTGATACTTTCTTTGTGAACTTTTATCTTCTACCCATGGTAGCCTACGTCCTAGTGGCATTCTTCTACCAGCAGGTTCCATCTCATTTTGTAAGCTATGCGTAGTCAGCTCTGGATAGCATTTGAATGTGAGACCCCCAATGTATACCAGGTGTTGTAGGCTATATTTCAGAAGAAGGTACTGGCAAAACCACATCTGAGTATTCCTTGCCTAAGAAATTCATGGGGTCACCATAAGTTGACAAATGGCTTGAAGGAATGTAGATACACACACACTGTCTTCTTCTAATTCCTCATTGTATAAGTACCTCATCCTCACTTTGTGGAAATTAAGGCAGGCTTTCAGATACATTCTTTAAAAACAATGCACACATTTCTATGGTTTGTCTTTACTACATGTTTTCCTCACTACTTGAAGTACACTTTGCTCACACTCTTAAAATGCACACCTTTTAATTGTGTTCATGCGTACACAATGCAGTATTTCTCCTCTGAAATGCAATATTTCTCTGAAATGAATTTGGAATTGGCAATAATTGGATTTCAGAGGCAAAATGCATTCTCTTCTTTGGCAATCTCCAGAGCCAGGAAATGGCTGTTTCTGCATCACAAAAGAAACCGAACAAATTGCTTACCCACTCCTATATATTAAAAAACAATGTTCCCAAAATCTGCCTGTGTTCCAGCATTGAAACAAGGATTCTGCACCATCCAACAAGAAGTCAGACTACATAATAGATTCAAGGAATCATAGGCCTGGAAAATAACAGGAGACTCCAAGGGTCTTATGGTCCAATCTTCTGCCATTGCAGGAGATCCATTGCAAGAAGCCCAGGTGTTTTGGGAGAACAGCATTTTAATAATTCAGCCAAAGGTATTGCAAAACTGAAACTTCTTGTTCCCAGATGCCCTTCTCATTCATGTTGTGGCATTGCACTCATGTTCCCCAAAGAACCATTTTAATTTGGGATGTGCACTGCAGTGACAGATGAGCCCCTTCTATCTTGGCAACAGTCAAACTACTTGCAATGTTGCAATGTTACAGAATGGCTTTTTTTTTTGTCCTACAAATGAACGAAATAATTATCTGCAAGGTTAATGGTTAGGAAAGGAGATTATGGTTAAAAGCATAAGGTGTTCATTTATGCAGAGCCAACTGTCTGGAAGGGAGCTCGGAGCCGTGACCCCACTTGCCCAGCCTATTGATGGTAACCTAAAGCTTACTAGGTGAAGCATTCTGGGAGTTGTAGTCCAACCCCCCCCCCCACCCATTTCCAAGCTCTGGGCCACACATCAGATAAAAATATATGGGATAAAAATGAAAACACATACATTATGGCACCCCAGGCCTGGAGCCACCTATGACCACACAAGAGTCCAGAGTAGGCCAACCATTTATTGTATATATAAAAAAAACCAACCACAAAATATATGAAAAAGCAGGAATGAAGAAAGGAAAGGAATAATCCAAAAAAAGGTTTCACAATAGGTGATAAACACATAGGAATCCAAATGTCTCATAAAAATCCAAAGGTAACACAGTCCAAGAATAGCTAAAACTCACAAATACTACATAAATGCAGCTGTGGACAAGTCTACATAGGGACCACCAAACGCAGCATTGCCCAAACACGAATCAAGGAACATGAAAGTCACTGCAGACTACTTCAACCAAAGAAATCAGCCATAGCAGAGCACCTGATGAACCAACCTGGACACAGCATATTATTTGAGAACACAGAAATACTGGACCACTCCAACAACCACCATGTCAGGCTACACAGAGAAGCCATTGAAATCCACAAGCATGTGGACAATTTCAACAGAAAGGAAGAAACCATGAAAATGAACAAAATCTGGCTACCAGTATTAAAAAAACTCTAAAATTGCAACAGCACAACAACAGAGAGGAAGCAGGCAGGGACACCTAATTACCTCTCAACAATAGTTTGCTCCAGGCACAGTCAGCCCATTGTATGCTAATCAAGGTGGTCAGTTGAAAAAATCACACCTAGCTCCAGCAGAAAAGAGTCCTTTGCCTCATCCTGGTCATTCCACAGATATATAAACCCCTTTTCCCTAGTTCTAACAGACCTCACTACCTCTGAGGATGCTTGCCATAGATGCAGGCGAAACGTCAGGAGAGAATGCCTCTAGACCATGGCCATACAGCCCTAAAAAACCTACAACAACCCACTGCATAAATCCATAAGCAAAAGGTATACGTAGAAAAACTTGAGCAAGAATAATAAAACAAGAACATAGAAAACTTCCAGGATACTTAAATCCAGGACTTGACTTGACACAAGAACTCAGGCCTCGCTTCTCACTCAAAAGCTAACATTGCTTGAACTAAATTTATGGTAAACAACTGGCTGTTAATAAGCACTCATGAAATCATGTTGTTTCTCATGAATTTTCTCTATCTCTTTCCCACATAATCTCTCTGACCTACTAAGCCAGTTCTCTGCTCTGGTTTGTAAATAGAGATTTGTGCTTATGTCCGTAATGCCAGGTGCCTTCCCTTGAGAGCTTTTAATTTCACTTATTTCTTCACTCAATTACTTATCTAATGATGTTGTTTCTGGCTCCTGTGACTGACCTTGGAGCTAGGCACTGTCTGAGGCAATTTCATTTCCCTGGCCTGAATCTTCAATATTTTGAACCTGGCCTGAATCGGCATCACTTTGAACCCCAGGAAATCCCACAATCCCTTCTGAATCGTCAGTGAACCCATCAGCCCTTGGCTGACCTACAACACACGCCATCAAAGCCTGAACACATATTACAGATGGAATGTTTCAGCATTTACTATTTATAATCTTTTGCAGACAATTCACTTTTGTAGGCCTAGGTACCTAAAGGAAATTTCTTTCTGGATGATCCAGAGCTTCCAAGGCAGCTTTCAAGATTAGCACTGTGATCTTATTCAGATTCACTTGCAAGCAAGCCCCCAGTCTGCGCTTTGATTGGACCCATTTTGGGCATCTTCAAATATAGTTGATCCCAAAGACTGTGTCAGATTATTGTGGAAAAGAATTTATTGGTGATTAATACATTCAGCAGAAAAAGGCTACTTCCTCATATTAATGTACAATAGATTCTCAGTTAACTGGAATTCAAGCAACCAGAATTCTCAAGCAACTGGCCTAGCTCATCTCCAAATCTGCTCTTTCAAGATCAGACGCCCCATCCCTGCCACTGGGCGGCTGCATCACTGTTTTGTTTTTGATGCTGATCAAGGACTCCAGAACCTGTCAGTCTCATGCAGATTTTGGTCCCACTGCAACCAACAGTTTAATCCAAAGTCATCACATCTTGGATTGCAATCTGGAAAAGGTTTCCATCAGGGAATGGCCAATGTCAGAAGAAATAAGTGATTAATTTAATGAATTATGAATACTAAATGAACAAAAAACCAAGTGGAGAGAAGGGAAGAAAAACATATGAGCTGTTCCAAGACTTTAGATCAGGCCTGCACAACCTGTGACCCTCCAGGCGTTTCAACCTCCAACTCCCAGAAGCCATAGCCAGCTGTTGCAATGGTCAGGAATTCTGGGAGCTGAAGTCCAAAATACCTTGAAGGCCAAATGCAGTGCAGGCCTGCTTTAGATGCTTTTTGGAGCAAGATCTTCTAAAATAACCAGAAGGTGGAATTAAAGAGAAGGCAATGTGTGTTTCTTAGGGTTAACAGCTGAATTCAACAACCCAAGTGGCCCTCTCCTACATATTCATTCCTCTCATCTCAGATAATGAAACAACCAGAGTCATGAACATAATCCAATGGACTTGGTTTTAAAAGGCAAGATGTTAATGTGGCATCACTGTTTGCAAATGCAGTGGGAGCTGGTGGCTCTCATCTCGGCGGAACCAGAAATCCATGCAGATGCTTAATCTGTCTTTCAAGAAGCTATCTGAGGAGGTGAACTCTATCCCACACAAAATGAAACACCTTGGGGAGTCTTCATATTAGTGAGGTGAAGAATCCATGCCAGGTTTTAGTTATACAGTAGAGTCTCGCTTATCTAACATACACGGAGTGGCAGAACATTGTATATGCGAAAATGTTGGATAAGGAGGGATTAAGGAAAAGCCTATTAAACATCAAATTACATTATGATTTTACAAATTAAACACCAAAACATCATGTTTTACAACAAATCAACAGAAAAAGCAGTTATGTAGTAATTACTGTATTTGCAAATTTAGTACCAAAACATCGCAATGTATTGAAACAGCTGTGGATCCAGGCAGGAGGAGACTGCGTTGGATAATACAGAATGCTGGATAAGCGAGACTAAAGTCTGGCATGGATTCTTCACCTCACTAATATGAAGATTAATATCCATTGCTGAACAAATAGAAACTGCCAGTTGATATGGTCATGTTTTCACCACAAATGGAAGAGAAACCTAAAGGTACCAAATCCTATCACATTATGGAAACTAAGCAGGGTCCACTCTGGTTAGTACTTGGATGGAAGACAGCCAATGAATAGTAAGTGTTGTAGGTAATATGTCAGAAGAAGGAATGAGCAAAACCATCTCTGAGGATTCCTTGACTTGAAATTTATAGGGTTGTCATAAGTCAACAGGCAACTTGAATTTATGCAGATACACACTCATAATGAATACAGAGGGTCCTGTACGTGGATGGAGACCAGCAATGAACACCAAAGACTGGTGTATTCTAACTAACTATTCCAAGATAACCCGGTTGCTAGGCATTTGGTGACTTGAAGGCACACACCCAAGAACAGAACATATTAGTCACAGTCCATTCCCAGATGCTGCTCCCGTGTTTATGGCAAGAACCCTGTCGTTTTAAATATCACTCTTGGCTACTGGTGTCAGCCATGAAATTTGCCATCTAGAAAGTGAATGATTACTCATGGTTTCTACTTACATGGAACATATCTTCTGGTCTGCAGTTCTGCTGGTAACAGGACCCTTTCAATAGCACCATCATCTTTGGACTTATCCAGCCAACGGCCGCAAGGAAATACAAGGCACAAGCCCAGGCAAGGGGCATCAACTTCCACCCATTCCAGAAACCATCCTTTACCACGACCTGCAGAGGAATAAGAGAACCTCACTTTCTATAAACTACCATTGAGGAATGCACAACTCTCCAGATGTTGGTCAACGGTTTCCATGATCTGTCAGCATAGGCCATCCTGGCTAAAGCCGATGGGAAAAGAAACCACACAAAATCTAGCACAGACATATACATGGCAGCCTGTAAGCTGTTTGCCTCAAAGCAGACCAATTAAAATATACAGGTCTATTTCATATTGTGTAGAACTACCCTGTTTCCCTGGAAATAAGACAGTGTCGTACATTAATTTTTGCTCCCAAAGATGCACTAGTTCTTATTTTCAGGGGATGTCATGCCACTCCTGGATTCAAATCTGCGACTGTTTGGTCAACAAGTTTAGCAGCTCAGCAGTTTAATCCACTGCACCACCGGGGGTTCCCTACAAATGTCATTGTGCTGGTCCTCTGCCATCAACTCCGCTGGACCAGCCATGTTGTCCGGATGCCCGACCACCGTATCTCAAAGCAGTTGCTCTATTCCGAACTCAATAATGGAAAACGAAATGTTGGTGGACAGGAAAGGAGATTTAGAGATGGGCTCAATGCCAACCTAGCACTGGGATTGTGGTGCAGCTGGCTGAGTGTCAGCTGCATGAAGATCACTCTGACCAAAAGGTCATGAGTTCGAAGCCAGCCCGGATTGGAGTGGGTTTCCAACCAATTGTGTAACCTGTTGTCGACCTTTGCAACCCGACAACTGAAAGTTGCATCTGTCAAGCAGGAAAATTAGGTACCACCTTAAAGTGTGGGGAGGCTAAATTAACTAATTTATGAGGCCATAAAAAAAAGACTCCAGCAAGCACTCCAGCAAAAAGCATGCGGGGAATGCGGAAGTACTTCATCAGTGTCGCAGATGGACGATGAAAGCGACAGCTCCCCTGGCGGCCAGAAAAAGTTAAATAGCCATAAATATGTTGTATGTCAAAATTGGCACTGAATGTTTGTGTTATATGTGTACACTGGAATCCACCCTGAGTCCCCTGCGGGGTGAGAAGGGCGGAATATAAAAGCTTTAAATAATAATAATAATAATAATAATAATAATAATAATAATAATAATGAACTGTGGCATAGACACTGAGAACTGGGAAACCCTGGACCTTGAGCACTCCAGCTGGAGATCAGCTGTGACCAGCAGTGCTGTGGAGTTTGAAGAGGCATGAATGGAAGGCGAAAGAGAGAAACATGCCAAGAGGAAGGTGCGTCAAGCCAACCCCGTCTGAGACCGCCTTCCACCTGGAAACCATTGCCCTCACTGCAGGAGAAGATGCAGATCACGAATTGGGCTCCACAGTCACCTACGGGCCCACCGACAGAACCCTGGAGGACCATCAACCTCGGACTACGAGGGATCGCCTAAGTATGTAAGTAAGCAAAACCTGTACTCGGTCTTATTTTCAGGGGATGCCTTTTTTTCAGGGAAACAGGGTAGTAAAGGATTCTGTGCTTGCAAGTTTAGTTTGAGTGGGCCAAGATTGGTCACTGAGTATTTTGAGTCCAAGGGAATTCCAAGATGAGATTGAAGGTTCCTTTGATATCAAGCCACCTTACAAGTATTCAGTCAAGTAGGTCCATTGTGCTAGCCAAAGGCCATAACAAAGAGCTTTCAAATACACAGAACATTCAAGATAAAAAGTACAAGGCAGTAACAAGTTATTGCCAAACTCATATAAAGAATCAAAACATCTTTAGTTGCCAACGTGAAAATCAAATTAATGCTTTGAGTCTCTGTGGCAATTTTATCTAGTTTTCTCTTTCTGATCTTCTTTTTGCAACCAAAGCAAAAAAGGGCCATTTTATATGTTACATAATCATTGAAATCTATCAAGAAAAGAAAAGAAAAGAAAAACCTGAACCAATTCTACAAGAGAGTTCCCACTTCCATTTGTCAGCAAGGGTTTCAGAAATCTTTCTCTGGTGTCACTATATAGGGGACAGTTTAATATGTAATGCACAATGTCTTTCATCTGGCATTGGCTGCACATTCATAGCATTTTATTATAATGTCCAGTCCTAACACTGCAGTAGCAATTATTTGAAATTGCAATTCAGTAAAAGCACCCAGTGGTGCAGTGGGTTAAAGCACTGAGTTGCTGAGCTAGTTGACCAAAAGGTCACAGGTTCGATTCCGGGGAGCAGCGTGAGCTTCCACTGTCAGCCCCAGCTTCTGCCAACCTAGCAGTTCGAAAACATGCAAATGTGAGTAGATCAATAGGTACTGTTCCGGCGGGAAGGTAACGGCACTCCATGCAGTCATGCCGGCCACATGACCTCATTGGTGTCTACGGACAATGCCGGCTCTTCGGCTTAGAAATGGAGATGAGCACCAACCCCCAGAGTCACACATGACTGGACTTAATGTCAGGGGACAAACTTTACCTTTACCTAAAAGCCATTCTTAAGGAGGATGGCTCAAGTTTGAGCAGATATCTGGCTCTAAAATATTCCTTTCCCAAAAAAGGAGTATCAAAACGACACCGTTGTGATACTCTTGGTGCCAGGAAAGAAGAATAGGCTAGGATCCCTGTCTATATTATGCTGGTTTTCTATGTGAGTCTGTATCCCATATGAAGGTACACTCAGTCTTGATAACCTTCCCAAAGTAATACAACCCAGACATCGATTCACATATAGCATCTACTCAGAGTGTGGAGAAAAATCCTTTTTGGATCACTTCTCCCAGAATGCCTGGTTCCATTCTACTTGGGACATTCTAATCCAAAAAGTAACTTTTTCAAGCTGTGCACCATGATGAGAACTGAGCTGGAATATCAATGGTGCTGCTGATTAGTCAAAATCGCCACGATTCACTTGGCTGCCTACATTTCTGAGAAAAAGATGAGTCAGAACAAGCTGTTCAGTTCACATCTGATCTCACCTGGGACTTCCTTTTTTGCCTGATTAGGGAAATAATCCTAGGTTTCTAAAGCTCAATGTAAATGAGGAGAAATGATGGTTCATTGAATACTTTCACCAACACTGTCATATAAATGATGGAAGACATTTCTTTTCCAATGCACCAATGGATAGGCCCAATCTAACAGAATGAGAAATGTGTAGCTCTCTGGATATTACTGGATTCCAGTTCCCATCCTCTTTAATCTCTTACGATTCCCAGAATTCTTCATCGTTGACTACATTAGCTAGGACCATGACTCCAACAACATTTCAATGGCTTCTCTGTGCGGTCTGACTTGGTGGTTGTGAGAGTGGTCTAGCATTTCTGTGTTCTCAAATGATATGCTGTGTCCAGATTGGTTCATCAAGTGCTCTGCTATGGCTGACTTCTCTGGTTGAAGTAGTCTGCAGTGCCTTTCATGTTCCTTGATTCGTGTTTGGGCAATGCTGCGTTTGGTGGTCCCTATGTAGACTTGTCCACAGCTGCATGGTATACGGTAGACTCCTGCAGAAGTGAGAGGAGTCCTTTGCTGAACGTAGCATTTGCTGGATTTTCTTGCTGGGTCTGTAGATAGTTTGTATGTTGTGTTTCCTCATCAGCTTCCCAATGCAGTCAGTGGTTCCCTTGATGTATGGCAAGAACACTTTTCCTCTGGGTGGATCTTCATCTTTACTCTCATGGCTTGTTCTTGGTCTTGCAGCTCTCCTGATGTCTGAGGTGGAGTATCCATTGGCCTGGAGAGCCCAGTTGAGGTGGTTCAGTTCATCTTGGAGGAGGTGGGCTTTGCAGATTCTTTTTGCACGGTCTGCCAAGGCTTTAATGGTGCTTCTTTTTTTACTTGGGTGATGGTTGGAGTTTTGTGTGTGGGTTTGTGTGTGGGTTTTCTGTAAAAGGTGTGACCCAATTGTTGATCTGGTTTACGGATGACTAGGACATCTAGAAAAGGCAGTCTTCCTTCCTTTTCTTTTCCCAGCATATTATTTGAGAACACAGATAAGCGGGACCACTCGAACAACCACCATGTCAGACTACACAGAGAAGCCACTGAAACCCACAAGCATGTGGACAATTTCAACAGAAAGGAGGAAACCATGAAAATGAACAAAATCTGGCTACCAGTATTAAAAAAACTCTAAAATTACAATAGCAAAACAACAGAAAGGAAACAATCTGGGACATCTAATCACCTCTGAACAAAAGATTGCCTCGGGCACTGCCAGGCCATCAAATGTTAATCAAGGGGGTCAGTTGAAACATTGACAACTAGCTCCAGCAGACAAGAGTCCTTTGTCCCACCCTTGTCATTCCACAGATATATAAACCCATTTTCCTAGTTCCAACAGACCTCACTATCTCTGAGGATGCCTGCCATAGATGCAGGCAAAACGTCAGGAGACAATGCCTCTAGAACATGGTCATATAGCCCGAAAAAACCTACAACAACCCAGTGATTCCAGCCATGAAAGCTTTCGGCAATACATTGATGAATTACTTCTTCAACATCAGAAGCAAGAGGGTGCTTTTCAAACAATGCACAAAATGGAGACCAACAATTATTGGAAAGTGACTTTCTAACCTCTGAGTTCATGGCTACATACCTGTATCATCGTGGCCCATTTTTATTTTCTTCAGGTCTCCAAGATCCACACACTCCACTGTGAACACATCAATCTTTCCTCGCTCAAATTTATTCTTGTTAGTCTTCGAGGCCTTCAAGTAGATTGTCCCTATTGGAAAAGGAAGCGCAGCAGCTTGAGGACATTGCACCTTTTGCACTTAGTTTAAGATGAAAGATGGAGCTTTCTTTGGAAAGAGGGGGGGAAAGGCTCTCTTGGAAAAAGAAAACACAGAGAATTCCTCTTGAAATGGGAAAGAATTCCCAAACCAAGGAGGTTAAAGAATTAATGTGACTCACAGCAGAACAGTCAGGAACCATGCTGCAAGGGTGGAAGCACACAATTGATTGTAAACATTCTCCTTAATCAATTATTAGCCATCGAAGCATGAATGGAAGGTTCAATGGGCAGAATGGGTCTTACCAATTTTCAGAAGAATAAATATTACTGATTGATGTCAATAAGAGTTAAGTTTAGTTATGACTAAGATCCCATTCTTTTAAATGGATATACAATAATAATAATAATAATAATAATAATAATAATAATAATAATGCTTCAATTATATTCCACCCTATCTCCCCAAGGAGACTCAGGGCAGATTACAGTACATATGAACGGCAAACATTTAGTGCAGTTTTGGATAGACAAGACAGAGACAGACAGAACAGTGTCATGTATTATATTCTGTAATTAATGGTGCTTGGTGATGGAAGGGTTAATGTACGTATTAGTTCTAAAACGTTGAGTAACCTTTTAGAACTAAGAGTTCATGGGTGAAAGCAATTAATGGTGGAGGTATGCAAGAGACAGGTTGCAGCTGGGTGTTTCTGGATATAAGGAGTGAGCCTTGGAAATGATCTTCAGGAGAAAAGTATTTGTCTTCTTTTGGTGGTAGATGCTGCTGGTTTTCCCCCAGGTTTGTTGGATTTTCGGTATCCTGACCTGTCTCCTGTAATCTTGGAACCCTGGAAACTTGAACCTCTGGACTGGCTTTTGACTATGTTTTTTTTGGGGGGTGGGGGGAGGTGTTGTGTCATAGACTCTAGATCCCTGGACCTTGTTCATTGAATTCTTGGCATTTGACCACTGGACTGGACCCTTTGACTACTACGGTGTAGCTTTTGCTATCAGTTTTTGTTTATTCTGTGGCTGAGTGCTATCTTTATGTTTTATGTTTTGGACTATTGAAATAAGTGCTGTTTTAATTAAACTGTTTGATAAAACTGGGAGTTTGGTTCATCTCTACCTAAATAAGGCAGAGCCCTGGCAACATGACAAACAGAAAGGAGCCATGTTGTACCTGTATGTCCAGCTTTTTGGCATCTTGAAAGGTTGTCTTCGAATCCAGTCACAGGGGGGTACTTCCGCTCTATCCTCTATGACAAAGAGCCATAAGGACTTCCTCCTTCCTTTTGGTTGCCAGGCATTTTATTATCTTTTTTCTTTATGGTGTTGTAAAATACCTCCCCACTTGTTTTAGAGGTACCTAATTTCTCTAGTTACAGCTCAAGCTGTTTTTGAACTGCTTAGGTCAACAGTAAGATGGGCTGACAGTCGGAAGCTCACACTGACCCAGGGCTTCAAACTGGCAACCTTTTGGTTGGTAGATCTTATCATTGCTGGTGATTCACCAGCTGTGCTAAATCTTGGCCCTTACAACTACAACTAACCTTGGATGTTACCCCAGTTATAACATGTGAATTAATATCGAATGGTGTATCTGTGACATTTCAGAATACAATTTGCCCTGCACTTAGCACTGCCAAAGGGCATCTTAAGTGAGCTTCAAAGTACAAAAAAGAAAAGAAAAGAAATATAGAGATGGGGTGGTGAGGAGATGAGCAAAAGGATATGGGGGAGAAATATTCTATGGAAAAATTGTGCCTGATTCAGCTACACTAATGAGCAAACAATTTGCTATAAGATGACAAATCCATTTCCTGAAAAAAGAGGAAACTATGCCAATTCTCCAAAGCCAATTATATAATTGGCCAGAATCCAACAGTTTTTTCTCTCTCTCTCTCTCGGGATGCTCTTGGTCCTCACCTGTGTCATCTTTCATTCCATACAGAACGATGAAGACGTTGGAGTCTGTCCCACCATATTTCTTGTCTCCAGTTTTCACTGTCACGGTGAATGTCGTTGACTGAGCTGTCAAGAAAGAAGAATCTCCATTGGAATGGGGAACTTCACAACTGCGATGGATTTTCCTTCCTTTCTTTCCTTTTTCTTATTGAAATCACAAGGGTAAGATATTTTATAAAGAAGGCTAATGGCCAGATAGCTCAAATGAAAACTGTTCTAGGGAGAGAGTTAATTGATTCGAAGGGAGCCAAAGGGGACATTTTGATAATATCATTTCTCAGGACCAACTTAAACAGAGGTGGAGAAAGTATGATCCATGGGCCACATGTTTGCCCAAGGCCATTTTTGACGGTCCCATGGCCTCCTAGCACTTCAAAGCATTTTTACTGAAATGTCACAAAGTAGTGCCTAAACTTTCAGATTCTGTAGAACTATGTATTATTGAAAAATTCATGGCCAGAAACGGTGTGAGTTTTATGTATTGTCGAAGGCTTTCATGGCCGGAATCACTGGGTTGTTGTAGGTTTTTCCGGGCTATATGGCCATGTTCTAGAGGCATTTTCTCCTGACGTTTCACCTGCATCTATGGCAAGCATCCTCAGAGGTAGTGAGGTCTGTTGGAAACTAGGAAACTCACTACCTCTGAGGATGCTTGCCATAGATGCAGGTGAAACGTCAGGAGAAAATGCCTCTAGAACATGGCCATATAGCCCAGAAAAACCTACAACGACCCGGTTTGAGTTTTCCAGTAGGCTGTTAGGCATTGTGGGAGTTGAAGTGCAAAACATCTGGAGGGCTGAAGTTTGCTCATGCCTGTTCTACAGGATCGCAGGACTTTCCCTGATTGTTTTTAGAAGATTGATCTTATTGCATACATTGTAGACATTCTGCTAATGGAGCTATGATCTTTCTTTATGTGCCATTAGACATAAATAAGATGATTTTTTTTTGAAACACCTTTGGTCTCCCACTGAAATCAGCAGCCGACAGGGAGCTTTCTAAGAGTCCTTGTGAAGAAGGGAAGACAGAGGATTGACCTGGAAATGGAAAGGATGGCCTGTAGCAAGGGAACTGTGTCAAAACATATATTGAAAAGGAATGGTGGTAGTGGCACTTCTAGGGCAACAGGAATGGCATCTTGCTCCCATGAGGCTGATGCCTTTTGAGAACTCAGGAAAGCATCTGTGGCTGGTGCAGCTATTTTAGTTGCCAAGAAAAACATAGCCAGAGGACTCAGACTTGGAAACTGGCCTTGGAGCTCCCTCCCCAGAGAAGGCAGGTTGGCTCCATCCCTACAAAGCACCCAGCATGCAATCAAGGCTCCATTGTTCTGTTTGCTCTGTGGGCCATAAAATTGCTGGAGGCTTTAGGGAAGGTTTTAGCCAGTCCAATATGAACATATGCATTTTAATGGAGCTATCCAGGATGCTAACAATATCAACATGTTGGACTACTGTGGCTTTATTGTGTGTTTTCGAAAGGTTGCTCAGTCTGTTTTGAAGTAATTTTTAAATCAGTTTTGGTGTAAGTGGTTACCCTCTTTAGTATCCTCTTTGGTGACATCTATCAATGGTGGTGAAAGCTGGACAGAAAAGAAAGGTGATGAAAAGAGAAAATGTAGTGAAGGAAGAATGTTTTGTGGATATCTGGGATGGCTAAAATACAAATACATGAGTCTAAGAGAGGATCGACCCTGATCTCTTCCTAGAGACCAAAATGACAAAGTACATTGTCCTACTTTGGACAGATCACAAGACAACATGACACACTAGAAAAGACAATAACACCGAGAAAAGTGGATTTCCAGATTTCACAGATATATAGGACATAACCACAGTCCTTTTCATGATTTAAACTGGCTTGAATGGGGACATAAACCAAGGTAAATACATTCCTGGTGTTGTGCAATAAGGTATCTAGTAGGCTTGTGCATTTTGGTTGAACCTTGATCCATTTCTGCTAGCCTGATACCGGTAGATGCTTGTATCCATTTTTGCAAACCTCCCAAAAACAGGCAGGTAGACGGATACCTCGGCTACATTGGCATCAATGGGGAACTTATAGAATCATAGAGTTGGAAGAGACCTCATGGGCTATCCATGCCAACCCCCTGCCAAGAAGCAGGAATATTGCATTCAAAGCACCCCTGACAGATGGCCATCCAGCCTCTGTTTAAAAATCTCCAAAGAAGGAACCTCCACCACACTCTGGGGCAGAGAGTTCCACTGCTGAACAGCTCTCACAGTCAGGAAGTTCTTCCTCCTGTTCAGATGGAATCTCCTTTCTTGTAGTTATGAAGCTCCCTTTTCTATTCCTTAGACTCTTTCTTTTTTTTCCCTTCAAGGGAGCCTGGGTGTTAGTGACTGGGTTAAGAAAGCACACTATCCAGACCATTATGAGGGGGACTTCCCACAGGTTCCCCTTCCATATCCTTCATTAAAACCTGGATTAAAAGCATTAAAGATACCACTCTTTCTGCAATCCTTTCTCTTCTGTCTGTAGAGGACAGCAGATTTAATGCTTCTTGAAACTGTATCTATTCTAAAGGAGAGGCACTGTAGGCAGGCCACTTGCTTTCTCTCCCAGGTTTGCACCATGCCACACACTCTTTCCAGGGCATTTTAAGGAGACCCAGGGAAGGAAGAGTGATGACCCATTGACCTGGAGCTATCCTCCCTGGGCTTCCTTAAAAACAACTCTTTTTTTTCTTGGCATGCTTCAATCTCCTTTCTGCTTCAGATTTAATGCTTCCTTAGAGCCGTTTCTACTTTCTATTCTAGAGAAGAAGTCGGTAGTAGTAGTTTGAGAGAACTAGGGTTTACTTTTCATTTGCTAGTATTTATTATTATTATTATTATTATTATTATTATTATTATTATTATTATTATTATTATTATAGAAGTATATGAATGAGAGGAAGGGAAGGAGAAATAAAAGCTAAAAGAGTCACTCTCTTAAGCCTCCAAACATATGTGTGCACCCCAACCACCTGTCCCCAACTCCCAGTCAGTCCCACTAAATAAAAAGAATCAGAAAAATAAAGCAAAATAAAAAAGATTAAACTTTGATGCCGAATAGTGGAGGAGGAGCCAAGATCCATTGCCATATGGTCACAACTTAAATCTAGAAATAGTTTTCTAAGATCTACAGAGACACTCGCTGGAACACCTCAGCAAGGAGGAGCCCAAAAGTGGCAGGCTCAAACCCAGCACCTCAACCAATGGCTGATACCAAATGAGAGACTCCCCCTGGGCACACAGAGACTGGGCGACTTGGAAGGCGCTGAACAGACTGCGCTCTGGCACCACAAGATGCAGAGCCAACCTTAAGAAATGGGGCTACAAAGTGGAAACCATGACATGCGAGTGTGGAGAAGAGCAAACCACTGACCACCTGCTGCAATGTACCCTGAGCCCTGCCACATGCACAATGGAGGACCTTCTTGCAGCAACACCAGAAGCACTCCAAGTGGCCAGATACTGGTCAAAGGACATTTAACCAACTACCAAACTCACAAATGTTGTATTTTGTCTGTTTGTTTGCTTTGTTCTGTTAGAAATGTAATATAATTGACTGGTTGCTCTGACATGACAAATAAATAAATAAAATAAACTCGTTATGGATGGGAATCCGTGATGGCTGGGCCCTTGCTTTTTTGGGCACCCGAACAAACCGAAGAAGCTGAATTGGATGAAGGAAACTAGGCGCTGAAGCCTAGTATCTAGTACCTTCTGAAGCAATAGCTATTCTCTAGATTTTGCCCATAGCAACTGAGTGTCACTAAACAAAGCCCCATTTTCTTGCTCAAGTAGTCACTGAATGTACCGATGGAGCTCTGTCATGCCTACTGCAAGTGGAGCTTTACATCCCATCAGCATTCAATAGGAGCTCAGCCCACAGCACACTTGGCTTTTGAGCAGCTTTCTGGCTAGCAGCCATGTCAGTAGACAGAAGGTTAAACTTGATGGATTGGGAATCTGATGCAGTACAGCAATCATGATGTCCTCACAGACAGCATCTTGATATAATTTTCAGTGAGGAGAAATGAATGGTTCCCCCCTTTGTTCACCCTCTCTGAATATTTGCAAAAGTAGAACATGACTGCCATCCCTCTTTCAAAGGCTGTATGGAGAACTTGGGTGATGTTGAATTAAATGGGGGACGTAGGTGGAGATATGCTTCAAGCAGCAACCCAAGGCATTTTTGTAGCTCCTACACACCGGCACATTGAATGACACTCCACACATTTCATTCCAGAGGAAGGTGGTCAAAATGGTGAAAGATCTGGAAACCATGCCCTATGAGGGGTAGCATAGGGAGAGGGGAATGTTTAGCCTGGAGAAGAGATGGTTAAGAGGTGACATGCCATACAATGTTCCCTCACTACTTTGCGGTTCACTTTTAGCGGACTCGCTGTTTTGCGGGTTTTTGAAAATATTAATATAAAATATTTACATCCAGTGTAAATATGACCCCAGAAGTGCGGGACCCCAGAAGTGCGGCGGTCTGAGTTGTGGTGAGCAAGGCCTGCCTTCCTGGCCAGCTGCCACCTGTGTGACTCCGAAGGCTCTGCAAGGGTCTGCGGAAGCCAGGGAGGCAAGCAGGTGTTCTTGGGATGGGCTGGAAGGTGGGTAAGGAAGCAAAGTAAGAAAATAATATATAAAATAACGTCTAAATATTAAAATGAATATGGTTTCCCTACTTTGCGGATTTGACTTATCTTGGGCGGTCCTGGAACTGAACCCCCACAATAAGTGAGGGAACACTGTACATTGAAAGATTTGAAAGCATATGATATATGTTATAGACCAGTGATTTTCAGCCTGGGGTCCCCAGATGTTTTTGGCCTGCAACTCCCAGAAATCCCAGCCAGTTTACCAGCTGTTAGGATTTCTGGGAGTTGAAGGCCAAAACCATCTGGGGACCCCAGGTTGAGAACTACTGTTATAGACCATGTTAGAGTCTTTGGAGCAGCTTGTTTTCAGCTTTTTTCCTGCTGTTCCAAAGACTATAACATGGGACAATGGATTCAATCTATAGGAAAAGAGATTCCACCTAAACATTAAGAAATAAAAAAAAATCTTCCTGATGGTAAGAGCTGTTTGTCAGTGGAATGTGCTGCCTCTAAGTTTTGTGGAGTCTTCTTAATGGAGGTTTAAAGTAGAGGTTGGATGGTCATCTGTCAGAAGAACTTTGATTGATGTATTCCTGTATGACAGAATGAGGTTGGACTGCATGGCCCTTGGGGTATCTTCCAACTCTTCCAACTGTTAGTAGAGGAATGTATCCACCTCATGTTTTATTCTGAACTTTTAAGAAATAGAGAACAAGCCACGAGAGTCAAGACAAAGATCCACCCAGAGGAAAAGTGTTCTTGCCATACATCAAGGGAACCACTGACCGCATAGGGAAGCTGATGAGGAAACACAACATACAAACAATCTACAAACCTACCAAGAAAATCCAACAAATGCTACGTTCAGCAAAGGACAAGAGGGATCCTCTCACTTCTGCAGGAGTCTACCATGTACCATGCAGCTGTGGACAAGTCTACATAGGGACCACCAAACGCAGCAGCATTGCCCAGACACAAATCAAGGAACATGAAAGGCACTGCAGGCTACTTCAACCAGAGAAATCAGTCATAGCAGACCACCTGATGAACCAACCTGGACACAGCAGATTATTTGAGAACACAGAAATGCTGGACCACTCTCACAACCACCATGTCAGACTACACAGAGAAGCCATTGAAATCCACAAACATGTGGACAATTTCAACAGAAAGGAGGAAACCATGAAAATGAACAAAATCTGGCTACCAGTATTAAAAAACTCTAAAATTACAACAGCACAACAACAGAGAGGAAACAAACAAGGACATCTAATCACCTCTCAACAAAAGTTTGCTCCAGGCACTGTCAGGTCATTAAATGCTAATCAAGGTGGTCAGTTGAAACATTCACACCTAGCTCCAGCAGACAAGAGCCCTTTGTCCAACCCTGGTCTTTCCACAGATATATAAACCCTTTTTCCTAGTTCCAACAGACCTCACTACCTCTGAGGATGCTTGCCATAGATACAGGTGAAACGTCAGGAGAGAATGCCTCTAGACCATGGCCATATAGCCCTAAAAAACCTACAACAACCCAGTGATTCCATCCATGAAAGCCTTCGACAATACATTTAAAGAAATAATTTCCCCAAATAGGTTCTGCACCCAAATTTAGTCAGTGGTGTTTGAATGTAATGCTGAAAAAGCCCATTCTTGGAGAGCTGCTGTCAGTCAATGCAGAACTGCCTATCCACAATTCAGTGCTTCTAAGGGTAAGTTTCATCTGCCCATAGTCAGTGGTGAGGTATCAGATGAATTAAAATCAAGAGTACTTGAAAAAATATCACATTGTGAAAAGCTAGAGAAGGAACTAGTAGGTAGAGACAGCAATGCTTAAGTATAGATGTGAAATCTTCTCAGGTATAAATCCAGCTGTGAGCTCCAATTAGAGCAGATCCTATAAATTAATAGAACGCATGTAAGTCTTGAGTTACCAAGTTTCATTGTTGTACCAGGTTTACTATAGTTAGGAGTAAATATTACATTTAGGCTTCAGTCTCACTGTCAGAACATTTTATTTAATACCAAGCTGGATTTTCTTCCCCTCCTTTTCTTTTCCTGACTTCTTTTTGGAAGAAGTTTGTGTATGAAAATTTGTTCACATTTTAAGGCAATTTTATGACATGCATGGAAGTTGCGGGGGAGAAGGAAAGGAAGTGGTGGGGGAGAATATTAAAAATATTTTCAATAAATATTTTAATTCATAATTATTGAAAAACTGTGAAACACTGAGTCCACGAAAAGCGAACTGTGAAGTAGCAAGGGAACACTGTAGTCCAGT